GCCCGGGCGGTCGGAGGCGGGGCTGCCGGATCCCTGCTGGGCGGCCGAGAGCCAGGCCCGGGGCGGGGCCGAGCGCGGTTGTCGCCGGTTCCAGGACACGTGTGAGCGCCGGGGCCCGCGGTGGGGAGGAGGGGTAGGGAGTGCGCGAGGCCTCGTGCAGCCCAGCCGCGGCGGGCGCCGCACAGGGCCCTGAGTCTGGCCACCTTCCCGGGACTCTGACCTCCTTCTGCTGTCCCCTTGCAGGGTTAATATCCGGGGACCGATGCAGCCCGGGTCCACCGCACAGACTCCTTACTACACGTGGGATATTACAGCCACCCGGTGTCCGCAGGCATGGCCATGAACCTTCTGGAAGACTGGTGCCGGGGGATGGAGGTGGACGTCCACAGGTCCCTGTTGGTCACCGGCATCCCGGAGGACTGCGGCCAGGCGGAGATCGAGGAGACCTTGAATCGGGTCCTCTCCCCGCTGGGCCCATACCTCGTGCTCAACAAGATCTTTTTGAGGGAGGAGAATGCCAAAGCTGTGCTCATTGAGGTCAGCGAGGGTGTGAATCTGAGGGCCATCCCCCGGGAATTCCCAGGAAGGGGGGGCGTCTGGAGGGTGGTCTGCAGAGATCCCACCCAGGATGCTGAGTTTTTAAAAAATCTGAATGAATTCCTGGATGCCGAGGGGCGCACCTGGGAGGATGTGGTGCGCCTGCTCCAACTCAGCCACCCCCCAGCGCCCCAGAACCGGAATCAGCCCCCGGAGAGCTGGGCGCAAGCTTTGGGGGTGCTCCTGGGGGCCGTAGTGCAAGTCGTCTTCTACATGGATGCTGAGATCCGCAGGCGGGAGGAAGCTAGGGCTCAGGAGGCCGCTGAGGCCAAGGTGGTAGCAGCCTTGGCTTCAGCAGCAAGGAGGAAAGTCAACAAGGAAGCAAGGCGGGCTGCTGAGGTGGGCTCTGCCTTGAAGATGGAGAACGGGGACAGCTGGAAAGACGTGGAAGATGAGGGTGACTCTCCCAAACCTTTGGTTTGCAAGGCTGGAGCTAAGACTCGCTCCAGGAGAAAGCAGCAAAAAAACTCCCCCAAGCAGGAACCAGGGCCCTGCAAGAAACCCAAAGGCAATCGCTGCAACAGCTCGGCCTTCTCGGGGGATCCTAAGGCTGTTGGTGCTGAAAATATGGAGATCTCAGAAGATATCAGGAGCAGCAGAAAGCCCTGTGTGAAGCAGGAGGAGTCGGCTTTGAGGAAGCCAGTGGTGAAGTGTGCCTCGAAGGCTCCCAGCAACCCACCTCGGGATGCCTGGTCAGAAGCTGCGAGCCCTGGAGTTGACTCTGAGTCAGAGCAACATGGTGGTCCGGAGGGCCCACCAAAGAAGAAGGCGGTGGGCTGGGCCTCGGCGAAGAGCCCTGCCCCCGTGAAGAAGAAAAAGAAGGTGAGCTTGGGCCGTGCGTCTTATGTCCTTGTCGATTCAGAAGACACCGAGAAGAAGCCAGGGATTACAAAGAAAGGGCCGGGCTTGAGAAGGGATGCACCAGCTCAGAAGGCCCCGCGAGACCCACAGCCTGCCAGGTCGCCAGCCTCAACGTCACAGGGTCTGAAGGCCAAGCCAGAAGGCTTTCCTCATGCCTCCAGTGGTGAGAATGACAACAGAAGCCGTTTGGGTTGTGTCAACAGGTGCATGAGGGGGAACGAGCAGAAGTGGCAGGTGGAGCCCAAGGAAGTGGAGGGTCAGGTGGTCAATGAGGAAGACCCCAGTGCAGTGGAGGAAGCAGATGGCACATCAGTTGAGGTTGTAGAGAGCGAGAGCCCTGACCTCGCTCCTAGGAGCCCCTGAAGGCCGACATTGGGGACACCTGTGGGGGCAATTGGCAAAGCAAATGCACCAACCTATGTTATGTTGATGAATGGTTGGGGGGTTGAATGGTTTGGGGTTATATTGTTTATCAGAGTAGGTGGCTTTGAGGGTGTGGAGTTTTCTGGAGGCCTGGTCGGGGGATAGAAATGTTCAAGGACTTATAAAGTCCAAGGAAGTAAAAAAAATTTCCAAGTGACACCTTTCCTTGCTTCCCCTCTTGAGCTGTTCTAATTTATCCACAGCACCCAGAAAGCTTTGACTGGGGGGACCACCTATACCTGAGGAGTTGGAAGAAGAACAAGGAGGAAATTCCAAGTTGGGAACAAAGTCCTCTCTTGTCATTGAGTGAACCAAGGCTCTTGACTCTTTTAAGGACCCAGTTTGGAGAGATCTGGCTCTCAGAGGTAAATGATACACCAGATCTTAGGTGGAAGAATTAAGGGAAAAGGGCGTATCTTTGTGCTTTTTTCTCGGCCGGGCTGGCTTTTTCCGCCGCCTCCTAGACTCACCTGCAGAGGTTTGAAAGTCGCTAAGCAGGTTGGGAAAGTTCTAGAATGTTCATCTTTATCCACGGGCAGGGTTGCTCTTAGGCTTATCCGTGTTCGGCCTTTCTCCCCCATTCCCTGCTTCCTCTTCTGGATGGTCAGCTGACCTCTGCAGGGCCTGGCATCTTAAAGAGCTGGGGGGGCGGTTTTCTCCCTTCCGCCTTCTCTGCGTTTTGACCACAGAGAAGTTAAGCCAAGAGCATCAACGTGGACCTGGCTTCCTTGCTCCTTCTGGTCTTCAGTTTCCCTCCTCCAGTTATCTAACCAGAGGGTAGGAAGGTCCAAGAGTTAGTTTTGGGGAAAAAGAATGTACGCTTAGGCCTTAACATACTTGAGTTTTAGGTTTTGTTGATAAAAATGGTCCTTGAATTCCCATTTGGGGTAAAACCCTCGCAGGAAGCCTGCAGGGAAGAGGGGTGATCGGTAGGGCAGGACTCGGGCATTCCTGGCTTCCCAGCTCTAATTCCATCCTGTGGCACTATGCTCTCAACATCTTGGAGGCTGAAGACACTTCTCACATAATAAGAGAGGGAAAAACTTCTAAAACGATTAGCTGGTAATTTCTGTCCTCTGAATAGACCAGAAAATCACGTCTCCTGTGTGTGTGTGTGTGTGTGTGTGCAGGGGGAGGGGTAGGATACCCCAAATCAGTGGTTTCCGGACTATCCTGGGGAGGCCCAAGGTGTGCTCAGATGTGTAATTGGAATCTATTTTTTCGCGTATTTAAAAAAAAAAACCTGAAAAATGACTATTCAGATATGTAAGCCAAACCAGTTGCATAGGAAACTCTCAAAATATTACCTTGTGTTCATAAGTTAACTTGTTTTTGTACACGTCTCGAATTAATTGTTTCTGTCATCTGTTTGCACATAATGAATTTCTTGTAAATGTGACTGATGAGAAAGGTTAAAAGTGGGAGAATTTCAGTCCCTGCATACCCTGTAACTAACACTCCGAAAGCAGTTCCCTTTGTAATTCACATGCTCTTGTTATATTGTGATTTTCAGTTGTGTGATAGCAAATAAATGTATTAACATGGCGCCCAGTAATAAGATTCTATCCTAGAGAGTTGTGGCCCTTTATGTTCTAGAATCTCTCTTCTGACTTCAGTTTTTGTGGTAAAGAATGTGAACAGTTGTTAGATGTTGTTAGTGATTCAACTTTGAAAACACATTTCTTGTGACAATTCGTTTCAAGAGCCTGGGTGTGTCCAACTGAAGATGCAGAAAAAAAGAAAATGGTCTCTATGTGCAGCTGTTCATCTGTGCATCATGGTTTTCCTTGGGTTTGTGCAAAACAAAACAGGAATGAATTGGACTCTCAAGATGACGAAAGTCTGCAACTCTCAGCACCTAATTGCAAAATCAGGTCCATAAGGGCTTCATTGTGTTAACAAATTGACACCACGATTCGTAAATGTAAATGTGTATGTTATAAAATAAAGTTCAGCAGATTAAGTATCTCTTGAGTCTCTTTATTTTAGATGGAGATGGCGTGGACTATTTAATTTGAGAAAAGCATTCCCCTGCTGAACAATACACATTGTCCTAGACCCCCAACCTCGTGTGGGCTGTTGTCAGATCTGGGTTCAAGCTTGGAGGATTGTCAGTTTTCCCTGAGAGAAGCAGCCACGGAGATGTCTTTCCTCTTTGCCGTATGCCCTTCCACCAATGTGAAAGCCTCTCCCATAGATATTGGGATTTCTAGAAGTTTCTAGAACAGGTAACTGGTGATGTGAATTGTCTGAAAAGGCTAGTTTATTTTTAAAAGCAGCTGGAAGATGAAAACCCTTTCCTTCCCTCCCCTCAGACAGAAGCTGAGGTCTTTTAGCTAAAAACTTAGTTTTCTCCTGCCCAACCTCCTCTCCTGCTGGGAGCTCCTGAACCAGCGTGGCCACTTCATTGGGTCCCCTGGGGACTTTGTTGAAAATGCCATTTTCAGGCACCACCTGCTGAGTCAGGATCCCTTGGGGGTTGTATCTGTACTGGGAATCTGTATCTTGAACAATTTCTCCTGAGAATTCTGATGCGCCCATAGGTTGGAGAGCTCTAGAGGGAATAATGCACACTTGAGGAAAGGGAAGGATCCTTAAGGGCCAAGACTGGGGTTGATTGAAAAGTGAAAGGAGATTGTCAGGGCGGGAAGATGCACAAGAGACCAAAAGGGAAGCTGGAGTTTGAGGACAGGGTTTGCTCATTGAGTCCTGGGGTACCGCATGTAAGGACCAGGTAAAGGCTTACTTAACGGGTACTCCCCCCCGGCCCCTTCTGGGGGAAAAGCTGGATTTGGCCAAGATCTTTAAGTACCTCTCAGGTTGTAGTCACTCCCTCTGGTTACACCTGATCCCTCAGGAGAGTCTGAAAGGCTCATATGTAAGCAGTGATGAGGACTGTGATGGAATACAAAGGAGGAGAGGGGCAAGGTGAGTGTGGGTGTGTCTGTGAGAGACAGAGCTGGCTATTTTATAGAGTGGTCAGGGAGGGCCTCTGGGAGGAGGTGACATTTGAACAGACTTGGAGGAGGTAAGGGAGTGAGACAAGCAGCTGGCTGGTGGCACAGCATCCCAGGCAGAGGGAACAGTCAGCATGAAGGGCGGCAGGAGGATGCCTGGTCTGTTTGGGAAAGAGTGAGGAGGCTGGTGTGGCTGGAGCAGAGGGCAGTGAGGAGGAGGTGGAGAGATGAGGTCAGGGCGATTTTGGAGGCTGATTGTGCAGGGCCTCGTGGGCTTCAGAAAGGATGGCTTTGGGCTTGAATCTGAGTGAGCTGGGAGCCGTGGGAGGGTTCTGAGCAGAGAGTCCTGAGCCACTTAGGTTTTCAGAGGCTCCTTCTGGCTGCTGGTGGGGAGGAGGATGTGGGGGTGAGGGCAGAGTTGGGAGCCCAGAGAGGAGGTGCCTGTCATAGTCCAGGCCGGAGGTGATGGTGGCTACACCAGGGGGCCCTCGGAACCTCTAGAAAAAACTGCCCATTATGGTTGCTGGGTGACATATAGGTCTAGAATAAAGACGAGGGTTTGTTGATTTATTTATCCACCTTTGTTTCATAAAAAAATAAAAATTTTATATGCTATAAAATGCACAAATCTTTAAGTGAATTGTTTGATGAGTTTTGACATAGCACCTGTATTACCCACATCCTTAACAAGATAGAGAACAATACCATTATTCCAGAAAGTTCCTTCATGCCCCTTCCCAGTCAGTCCCTGTCCCCACCTCTCAGAGGTAACCACTGTAATGACTTTTTCCACCAAAGCTTATTTTTGCCTGTTCTGGGACTTCATATATAGGGAGTCATACAGTGTATAGTTTCTTGTGTCTGGTTTCTTTCCCCCCGCATAACGTTTTTAAGATTCATGCGTGTTGTATGTATATTTAATTATTTTTTGAGTTCACTACTCTTTAAAGTAAAAAAGTAATACACGTGTATGTTAAAAAAATTAAACAGCAATGAAGAAGAAGCCTCTTGGTTCTGCTCTCCCCACATCCCTTCCCTTTTCTTCCGGTAATTTCACCCATTTCCCTCTGGAGACCAGCACCTCCCTCCCTCAGACCTTCCATCTGACACCATCACCCCAGTAAGGTCCAGGGGTGTCACGCGGTCAGGCCAGCCAATCAGAGCATCCCATCTGCCAAACCACAGCCATTTGTCCAATGAGACTTCTAGGATTTTTTTCTGGAACTCTTGGGAATGAAAGCTCTCTTTCTTCTATACGCTGGAATGTAAGCTTGATGCTGATGGAGGCCATCTTGCCTCCACATGGCAGGAGATGCAAAGGCCCTGAGGAAGGAGTATTTCTGGTGTGTGGGAGGCCACTGTAGCTGGAGCAGAGTGAGCGGGAGGAGAAATATCAGGAGATGAGGTCAGAGAGGGTAGGCTTTCTGAACCCAAGGCAATACGGAGGAAAGCAGAGCCAGAAGAGAGAAAGAGAATATTGTTTATATTACATGAGAACCTGGATCCAGCCATGCCTGAAAGCCAAAACTCTTGGACTTTTTTGTTACATGAATCAATAAATACTTTATTTTTTCTTTTCTTTCTTTTGCCCCATCCACCTCTTTACAGCAATCTGAATTAGCTAATTTCATACCTGAAATAGTTCTGATTAATGAAACTACGGAAAGGAGTACAGTGAAAACTAAATCACCTTTCCATCCCAGACTCCAAAGTTTTAGTGGTTTCTTTTGTATCCTTCCAGAGATGCTCTGTGTAGATAAAACATTTACACTCAGATAAATTCCTTTTTCACACAAATGGAAGAATGCAATACACATCTTTCTTAACCTTGTTTACTCAACATATCTTGGAGAGTGTTCCATTTTTCATCATCTGGCTGCAAAGTGTCAGGGGTAATGGCTTCCCAGATGTTTGCATCCAGCTGCTCAAAGAAAAGCCTCTGGAATCTGGCTCCCCTGCCGCTCTAAGCTCTGTTCTCTCTGTGTTGGTTTTATTCTCAGGCCAGCCTCTCCTGGTGACAAAAGTCACTGCC